CACACACACACACACACACACACACACACAGACTGAAGAAGCACACAAGAGCACAGATTTGGTAAAATGTTACCAACTGTCCAGCTGATAAATCAAGATGACAGGTAAATTGTTCATCGTATTAGTCTTTCAACATTTTTGTAAGTTCAGAATTTTTCTGAGTAAAACCTGTTTTGGTTTTCAGCATTGTTTTCTAAAGCTATTTCTTAATTTTAAAGAAATGAAATGAAAAAGGATATTTTCCCTTCAATTTAATTAAATATAATTAAAATCAAAAGAATAATTCTATAAGCTTATGCATTCACAAAGCAGGTTGTTTTAAATTCTGTAACTAGAAGATTTAAGAAGTCGGGTAGGCTATATGCAAGATGTTACAATGCAGCTCAGTGGGTTGCAGCGTATGTTTGGTCACAGGAGATCTGAATTTGAGTCTTGAAGTGGCCGGGGCTGCAGCTAGTCACGCTTCCCTCCCAAGCCCCAGTTTTGTGTGCATAGTGTGTTAGTAATATACCCGTGCTATCTTTGTAGCTGCACCCTGCAGCTCTCTGAGGAAACAGTAAGCATTTGGTACATATTAGCAGGGTGGGTGTGGGTGATGTATGTGTGCATGTGTTTGTATGTGGTCATGTGTACATGTAGGTGCACATCCGTGTGTGTGCGTGCATGTGGAGGACAGAGGTCAACGCTGGGTGCCTTCTTCAGTCTCTCACCACCTCACTTTTTGAGACTACCTCACTGAGCCTGGAGCTCGCCAGTACATCTAGAATCATTAGCCAGCAAGCTCCAGGGACCTGCCTGCCTCTGCCTCTTCAGCACTGGCCATACAGGTGTGTGCTGCTGCACCAGCTCTTTCCCTGGGGCTGGGGATCTGAACTCAGGTCTTCAGGCCTCGAACTTGCATGGGCAGCACTTTACTGACAGCTGTCTCCCAGCCCCAGTGGCTAACGTTTCTTATCATCGTCTTTGGCCTCGCCTCCTGACTGTCTTTCTTGACTTGCTGGAATTAAATTCTTACTGATTCCCTTGCTGTCCCTTTCCTTTAGAACTAGAGAAGGTGCAGTGCTCAAAATGGAAGGGGCTGTGGGGACTGGTGCCAAGATTAGTTCTTATTCTCATATGAACTAACACTGTGTACTAACTTTGTTTGTTGTTTGCCTTAAGGAGGTTCGAAGCATTGCTTCAAGCTGGAAAAAGCCCTACTTCTGAATTGCTGTTTGACTGGGGAACTACCAACTGCACCGTTGGTGATCTTGTGGGTCTTCTGGTCCAGAATGAGTTTTTTGCTCCTGCCAGTCTTCTGCTGCCAGGTGAGCTGGTGTGACTGGAGTGTCAGCCATCGGAGGTCAGCCATGTGGGGGTCAGCCATCGGGAGTCAACCATGGGGTGAGCAGGAAAATGGCAGAAGAGAAGCTTTCGTTTCATTCTTTTCCGTGCAATGGACAAACCTGACATTTGAGTCCCTTTCATTTCTTCAGCTCTTCCCCGCTTTTTCCACTTCAGATGCAGGACACTGTGGACCATGCTGATAAGTTGAGAGAAGGTTTGTGATCGAGTCTAACCCATTAAAGTTGGGTGGTTGGTGCCAGCAGGGTTTATTTAGAAGGATGGAGGTTTTAGACATTGCTGTACTCCCATGAGAAATGAGTCTTTAGAGCTGTTGCTTTTTCCTCACCCAGCTCCCACCTGATGCAGCTCTGATCATGACCTCCTTACTGTGCATTCTGTTTCACTGTCTAGCTGCCCCTCATAACCTTACTTCTTTTCTCCCTTTGATGCCATGGCACTAGTGGTTCTCAGCCTTCAGGGTATGTAAAGAATCACTTAGAGTTCTTGTTGAACTTGCAGATTCCTGTGCACCATTCCACACCTTCTTAGGAATTGTAGATCTGAGTTCAAAGTCTATATTCTTTTTGTTTTCTGAGTTGTTTGATTGATTTTGAGACAGATTCTCACATAGCCCAGGTTAACCTTGAACTTACTATGTAGGCAAGACCAACCTTAAACTTGATCGTCCTGCCTCTGCTTCCTGAGTGCTGAGATTACAGGAATGCTCACCATGCCCAACTAGGTCTCTACTCTTAAACAAGTGTTTTAGTGTTTTCTGATGGCCCGGGACCACTTTGCAAACATTGCCTTACCCTCTCTACTATCTTTATCACAACTGGCAACTTCATACTAGGCAGCTTTCTGTGAGAATATAGGGCCAATCTCTGGAAACTGGAATGATGGTAAATAAACTGAGTTCCAAAGTTTTTCTCAGAGATTTTTTTCCTTACATAAAAACAACTTGTATCTTCTTGTCTTTGGTAGATGCTGTTCCCAAAACTGTTAATACTCTGCCTTCTAAAGAAGTGTCAACAGTCCCACAGAAGCAGAGGCCATGTTGTGAAAAAGACAGGACATCTGTTATGCCTGTGCAGAATTTTGAACAAGACTGTAAGCTACTTGACTCCGCAAGTCCAGAAAATAAGAGCCTAGAGTCCAGTGACACTCGTAAGTAGTGTTCTGCAGCCCTTTCCACTAGTGGCTGCCATGAGGTCATCAGGACTGTAAAGTGGACCTCTCCCTCTGTTGTGAGCAGTCAGAGGCATATCAGCAGTGCCCCTTCATGTTTGACTTTCTTGAAGTTGTTTAGTACCATCTTCCTTGTATCAGCTAATGTGTTATCAGTAACTTGAGGCAAAGGAACATGCAAACAGTCACAGCAGGTGAAGAAGAACGGTGAGCCTGTGTGGTCATGCCTGTGAGCCCAACAAGGGAAAATGGAGGGGGGGTGTCAGGACTTTAAAACCAGCCTCCGCAACATAGCAGATCAAGGCCAACCTGTGCTACGTGAGACCCTGTCTCAAGAAAAAAATGAACTTTTTTAATGTGACTAGAGTGTGGGGGGAGTAGATTGGACTTACCCAAATAAGTGAATAGTATTTTAGGTGGAAGTCTAGAGTGTTTGGTGTGGAGTCACCAAGTACAGTTGTCAGAATAAAGATTGCAATCCGCATTTCCTGTGTGCGTGCATGTGTGTGTTGGTGGGAGGGAGGGGAGGAACATAATTATTAAAAGCAAACTCCATGATTTGAACAGTTTTTCCTTATTCTGTTGACCTTATAGGTTTTCATAGCTTTTCATTTTATGAATTGAAGAGTATCACAAATGGTTTTGATGAGCGGCCCGTTTCCGTTGGTGGCAATAGAATGGGAGAGGGAGGATTTGGAGTTGTGTATAAAGGCTGTGTGAACAACACAACTGTGGCGGTGAAGAAGCTCGGAGCCGTAAGTTACGTTCTCAGGAGTGGAAAAGAATAAAATCAGACCTGCTTCCTGGGGTGGAATAGAATGAACGTTCGGTTACCTTCACAAAGTTTGTTACTTCAACAAATTTGAAGTGAACACCATCCTAGGCACACAATCTATGTTAAAAAGAAAAAGAAAATTTTATGGAAATATAATTTTATATGACTTTTACAGGCCAACAAAATGATCAGCAGGTTAAGGCACTTGCCACCATGTCTGAGGACCTAAGTTCAATCCCCATGACCCACATGGTTGAAAGAGAGAACCAGCTCTTGCAAGTTGTCTTCTGACCTCCACATGTGCACCAGGGCACACGTGTACCCACCACATACAAATAAATAAATTTTAAAAATAAGATGTAGAAAACACACAATATGAAAAATGAAAGTTTTCTTGCTATGTCCTTTGTTCCTTTTTCTATGAAGGTTTTTACCTTTAATATTTGGGTTCAATCAGTTGAAAAAAATTTCTCTGCAGTGAAATTTCATATTTTAATTTGTTTCTCCAACAGTTCAGTAAGGTTTATAATTTTTTCCTATTTACCAAAAAACCATGGACCTTGAGCAAGTCACTTACATTTCTAGATGTTAATTATTCTATAAAATGAAGAGAATACGACCTTACTGATTTTTATTTATTTTACAGTACTCAGTTATTGAACCTAAGACCCTGTACACATTAGGCAAGTACTTTACCACTGAGCTCTATCCCCAGCTCTCTTTTTACTTTTCACTTTGAATAAAGGTCTCACTAAGCTGTCTAGACCTCCTTTGAGCTCACTCTGTGAGCCGCGTAGGCCTTGAACTTTTGATTCTGCTGCTTCAGTCTCCCGTGTAGCTGGGCTTGCAAGCCTGTACCAGCAGCCCTGGGTTAAAATGTTATTTTAAAGGAAGTAGATCAGCAGGGGCCTCTCTTTTGAGCCCCCTTCCTGCTTTAGGAGTCATGAAGTTATTGTGTGGCATTACATTACAGGTTACTTTGTTTTTTAGATGGTTGACATTAGTACTGAAGAACTGAAACAACAGTTCGATCAAGAAATTAAAGTAATGGCAAAGTGAGTATTGATTTGGCAGTGTGGCACGGGGGTGAAGAACAGGGCACGGTGCAAGGGACCTGGTTTCTAAATGACTGTGCCACGAGCTCGGGAGGATCGCAGACATGGGCATAGAGAGCTAACATACAGGCCTTAGACTTGCTCTTTCAGCTCTTCAATCACATGACTGCACATACTCCCACATCTGGAGATGGAAAGCAGTATTTTAAATCACAAAGTTGCATGAGATTTGAAGTGTGTTCCCTTACCATGTTTCCTGTTCCCAGAATTCCCGGCAGATTGTCGTGATAATTTTTAAAAACTATTTATAAATCAAAGAATGATGGCACAGTCAGCCCAGTAATCCCAGTACTTGGGAGATTGAGGTAGGAAGACCATTCAAGGGCAACCTTAGCTACATAGCAAGTTCCAAGACAGCCTGAACTCTATGGGGAGACTGTGTCTCAAAAAACAAAAATAAAAACCGTTTGTAAAGTAACATACCCTTAGAAAAGTTAAAACTCATAGAGAAGCTAGGGGAGTAGTATATGCAAAATGAGGACATAGTAGCGTAGAAGGTGAGGGGGTACTGGGTGTATAAGGAAGGGAAGAAGGAGCAAATCGGGATATTCAGTGACAGTTGTGATTGACACCTGAGTATAGTATATGCCACACACTGTTACCTACTTTAAGTGCATTGGCGCCTTCAATTCTCAGAATAATTACTCTAACCTCCTATTGAAAAATCACCAGAAGATTTTTAAAAATTGTACAGCTTGCCCAAAATCCCATAGCCAACAAGTATTAGAGATGGTGTTCTGAACCAAATGTATCTGTTTCGAGAGCCTGAGCTGATCTGATGTCTAATGAGTGAACCACTAATATCCCTGAGGCCATTGCTGTCCATCACCCATTGCAGTTACTTAACCTCAGAAAGTAATTGATAAACTGAGACTGGCTCATGTGCGGTAAACATGGTGTACACTGAAACAAGCCAGAGCTCCTTTTCTTAAGGTTTATTCTCCTCACCCCTGCTTCCACTGCCCAGTTCTCGAAGTGACCTGCAGTATTCTGATACAGATGATGATTCTAGTTTAACTCTTACCGTATTAGATTTTTCCTCTAATTTGCAAAATTACAAATTAGAGGCCCTTTGAGGATTATTATACATAAATAAATGTGCTTCTTTTTATCTTTTTAGAATGAAGCTTTTGAAGAAAACATATTAGGCCAGAATTTTCAATGTTCTTAAAGACTATGTTCTGAGGCTCTCATATTTATTAATTTAATTCCCAGAGCATCCGTATTACACAATAGTATTGCATTAGTACTGTTTCCTGCTTCGGCAAAGAGCTAAGGCTGTGAGATGGTGAGCCTGCCATATAACCCAGGAGGTGGCAGAACTGAGCCTTCAGCGGAGGCCTGCAGTGTTGTTATTCTGCAGTTTTAAGTCTTATTACTCTCAAGTATATAAAAAACCAAATTCTAGCCAGGCATGGTGGCACACGCCTTTAATCCCAGCACTCGGGAGGCAGAGGCAAGCAGATCTCTGTGCATTCAAGGCCAGCCTGATCTACATATTGAGTTCTAGGCCAGCTGGGGCTATAGGGAGACCCTGTCTCAAAAAGACCAAAAAAGAAAAAAATCAAATTATATTGTAGACTGTCATGTGGTTAAAGATCAGAAATGTGTAAATTAAATGTGACTAAGGCAACCAGGCATGGTGCTGCATGGCTTTAATCCCAGTACTCAGGAGGCAGACGCAGGTGAATTTCTATGAGATCGAGGCTAGTCTGGTCTACATAGTTAGTTCCAAGCCATAAAAAAAAAAAAAAAAAAAAAAAAGGTCTAAGGATCCTTCAGTGCGTGTTAGAGAATTTGTTAGGTTAGAGAATTTTTCAGTATTAGGAAAGTTTCCACAGATTCTTTGAAATACTTGTATTATTGAAAACTGCACTGCACATAGGTGAGTTGGCCTAGTCCTCGACTAGACCACCTCAAGTCTCGTGATCTGAATGATTGAGCTTTGACCTTGAAATTGGAAGGGGTTTGCTTCTATTGTGATCAGTATTACTGAAACAAGAACTGCTTGCAGCAAGGAATCAACAGTTACAGTAAGCATGTTAGCATATTATAAACATGCCATGTTACATATGGTGCATAAGCAGCTGCGTCCTTGATCTCTCTGTTCAAACTATGAATAACTTCTACAGCTAAATATGTAAAGAGTTATTATGACGGTTTTGCATGGCAAATCATTTGTCACAGGTGTCAGCATGAAAACCTAGTCAAACTACTTGGTTTCTCAAGTGATGCTGATGATCTCTGCTTAGTGTACGCCTACATGCCCAACGGTTCATTGCTAGACAGACTGTCTTGCTTGGTAAGATATCTGTTCATCAGATTGCTTCACTTTCTGTTTCTCTGTGGGAATAGTTATACTCACTTTTTATCAGGATCACAGACCACATTAAACTTAGTATCTTCCCATTCTATAAAATGATATATATGTTAACAAAGGTTTCAAATCTAAAATGTCAAAGCATCAGTCAAGGCTAGATGTTGAAGGTGCTCTCCTGTATTTTTAAGTAACAGAGCTAACCCTACTTATTCCTCCTGTTTGATATTCTTTTTGCCAGCTTAAAAGAGTCGTAGTCTTAAATCTCAGTGACACCTCACTTTCAGCTGCAGAAACAATCTGTTACGTATTTCTTAAGAGATTTTTTAACCTAAACCCTTCTTTAAAATCAGTTTGTTTCTTCGTAAGGATGGTACTCCACCACTTCCCTGGCACACGAGATGCAAGATTGCTCAAGGTGCAGCTAATGGCATCCGTTTTCTGCATGAAAACCACCATATTCATAGAGATATTAAAAGGTAAACACTACTGTGAAGAAGGGCTTTGAAAGCCTTCCTTAGAGAATGTTTTCTCTCTTCACTCTCTCTGCATGCGTGTCTTAGTGTACAGTGCTTAGACTTTCCCCGTCACTGAGCACTCTTCTCATGTGGACATCTGTGATCTCCATCCCAAACCCAGTGACCTTGTAGTTGACTTTTGTCCTGGGTGTGTGTTATTCTGCTCTCAAACTCTGTTGCCTTGGGGAAAATAGATCTTTCCTAGTTTTTAGAACACTCTCTTTCCTAAATCACCTTCATCTTCCATGAGAACTTTTTGGTCTTCCTCTCTTTTATGGATTTAGTTAAATATTTACCAGGTGTATGCTAGGCATTATGCATGATATAGTTAGCAAGTGTATATGTAGAGCTTGACATCAACCAGTCACAAAATAATAGCTGAGTTTCAGTATCTATTATAGTAACTGTGTTACAGTCTCAGTGTCTAGTATAATACTTGTGTTGGAGTTCTAGTATCTATTATAGTACCTGCGTTAGCGTTTCAGTATCCATTAGAGTACCTGTGTTAGAGTTTTAGTATCTGTTATAGTATCTGTGTTAGAGTTTCAGTATCTATTATAATACCTGTGTTAAAGTTCCAGTATCTACTTTAGTATCTGTGTTAGAGTTTTAATATCTGTTATAGTACCTGTGTTAGAGTTTCAGTATCTATTAGAGAACCTGTGTTAGAGTTTCAGTATCTATTATAGTACCTGTGTTAGAGTTTTAGTGTCTATTATAGAACCTGTATTAGAGTTTTAATATCTGTTATAGTACCTGTGTTAGTGTAAAGAAGAATGGCTCAGCAGTTTGCTTTTGTGCCCACATGGCAGTTAACAACTGTTTTTATGCCTTTGTCACAAATAATGATTCTATTTTTTCTCCCATGTTAAGTATTCAGCTTAAATGCTAAGAAATATAGGGGTTCTCAGTGAGGTTGTCTTGAAAACTATGATGTATAAAGGAGTGCATGGAAGGAACGAATGAAGGTCTAGTGACACACAATCCTTTATAAAATTCCAGGGAGGACAAAAAGAATGGTTTAAAGAAAGAAAATTGGCTATGCTTTGGTTGAAAACGTGTTTGTAATGAACTGAGAAATACTAGGAAAGCAATTTGACTTACCTTTGACTTACTTCAGATCCAGACACAGAAAGACAAATACCATGTGTTGACTCATGTGAAAACTAATCTCAGAGGACTTTGGAATGCAGGAGTGTTCCCCGGAGACTGGGAAGGGCAGGAGGCGGGGGACAGAGGCACCAGCACGCGGAGCACAGCAATGACTTCTCAGTGTTCCTTAGCATAGTCATACAGACAACTAGAGGTTAAATAGCCTGTGGAGTGTTTCAGCAGGACTAGAAGAGCACTACATCCCCAGCATGTGGAAATGGTTCATGTCTTCAGAGACTGAAATGCTTACAACCCTGATGTGGTTATTACACATTGTATACAGGATTGAATTACCATACTGTAATGAAGGCATGCAAATGCATCTCATTTAAAAAATAAAATTTTATTTGAAAGGATGGTCCCTAGGGATGCAGCTCAGTAGTGAAGCTGTTGCCCAGCCTGACTGGAGCTCTGGGTTCAGGTACCAACAGCAGTAAAGAAATCCTTTGTAGGGAGTTGCCTATCATAGGCAATAAATTATCTGTGGAGCAATGAAAATGTCTCTCCCTTGAGTGGGAAATTTTATTGCAGTTTTCATTCGTAAGTGCCTTTCCTCACAAAACATGAAAGGAAAAGAAACATTTCTCTTTCACTGTGATCTGAAATGACATGTAGTATAAAAACATGTATGTATATATACATGTATACCTCTTTCTAAGAAACTATTTGACCTCCTAGGGAAGAAAAACTTTTTATTCCTCCAAATTTAAATTTTTTTCTAGTGCAAATATCTTACTAGACAAAGACTTCACAGCCAAAGTATCTGACTTTGGGCTTGCACGGGCTTCTGAGAAGTTTGCACAGACAGTCATGACTAGCAGAATTGTGGGCACAACAGCTTATATGGCCCCCGAAGCTCTGCGGGGAGAAATAACACCCAAATCTGACATCTACAGCTTTGGCGTGGTAAGTTACATGCAGTGATCATTCTTTTTAATTTTTTTACATTCACTTCTTACCTTTGCCTGCTGAGCCATCTCTCAAGTTCATGATCATTCTTTCTGAATTGCAAATTAAATTAGAATATTTCAGTACACATGTCCTGTTTAGTTCTCCTATATAATATATAAACTATTCGTATTAACCAGAAAGTTTATTAATAACTTCCAATGTGTACAAGTTTTGACTTTGTTTCTTTAATTGCTGCAAGAAGATTTTTCTTGCATTATCCTCACGAACGGGCATGAGTCAGAGTGTAAAAAAAATCACACTATGGAATGCGTGCTTCCGTCTCCCCTTGTCATTTTATCACCTAATAGTCTGATCCTAATGGTCTGTAAGACAGAAAGGAGTGTGCGTGGGGGAAGGAGCAAGGCCTCGTCTTCACTGTAGCTTCTAACTGGGCTTCGTTTCTGGAAACTGAACTTCGTGGCACTGAGACGTTAGGCGCAGGGTTGTAGTATGTGCCTGCTGTTCAGAAAATAACATTCTCCTAACAGCCTGTTAGAGGACAGACGAGAGCTCCTACAGTGCACGTTGGGCTGAGCTGCTTCAATCCCAGATCCATAGGCTTTGTGCAGGGCTTACTAATTGGGTTGCTAATTGGATTTCCTAATCAATATCTGTATTCCAAGAAAGCAGCTGCTTAGTGCATGTGAGTCCCAGGGTCAGTCCAAACCCTTCCAGTCCTGTGCTGTCTTCAGTGTTGCATTCATGGATTCTTTGTCTTCCTAGGTTTTATTAGAAATAATAACCGGACTTCCAGCAGTGGACGAACACCGTGAGCCTCAGTTACTAGTAATTGAATTTTTTGGTCTTTCCTCTTTTGCATTTATAGTCTAAATTTGTACAGGTAAATGTGGCGCTTAGGAAAGGCTTGTTCTGACAGCAGCCTTTGTCCTTGCAGTGAGTGATGGTGTAGCAAAAGAACAGGACAGTTTCCAATCCTGGGTTTGACGTGATGTATTTGTGAAGCCTTTTAAAGTTAGTTTGTTCCAGGAGCTATGTGGTAAAATGAGAATAAAACTAAATGGTTTATGAGGTGCTCTCCAGTTTACCTCTGTTACCTTCCAGGGTGGTAGTGAGGCCACTTGCAACTCAAAGGGGGAAAAAATCACGCCTCCCATTCCCTCCCCTCCTACTCCTTCTTGTCCCACCTCTCTCCTTCCCGTCCTCCAGTCTGTCCTTTCTTTTTCTCTGGGACGGTATCTGGTTACGTAGCACCGATTGACTTTGAACTCAATCCTCCTGCCTCAGCCTAGGATTGCAGGCATGTGCCACCATCCTAACCTTCTACTTATTATATCACATTTCATTGGTAATTTATAAGTAGATTAGCCAATTGGTAAATAAAACTATAGATAAATTATATCATTCCCTTTAAAGATTCGTGGAAATATCTACTATCATATAATTTTTTCTTAAAATTAAAAAAACTATACTTATTTTACCATAATGTTTGTATTTGTCCTAATACAACAAACCATTATGAACAATTCAGATAATAGACATAAATTAGATTATGCCCACAGAATTAGATTACAAAGTCAGGAGTATAATTTGCCTATTCAGTGTCCTGGTGCTAGGGTAGAGAGATGGCTCAGTGGTTAAGAACACATAATACTCTTTGGGAGGACCTGAGATCAGTTCCCAGACCCCATGTCAGGCGGCTCACAACCACCTGTGACTCCAGCTGCAGGGTGATCCTACTCCTGTGGCCTCCACGGGCATGTCCACATACTCAGACACACATATAGACACACATAATTAAAGTAAAATATTAAAAACAAACCTAAAAGTCTTGGTGCCTCATGTTTGAGTAAACCACACAGTATGTTATATTATTGCAAGTGTCCATCATAAAACTGTGTGCTGTAAAGATTTCCATGGTAATGGAAATGCAATATATAAAATGTTTTGAGAACATTCTAATGCTATTTAAATTTTATAGTGGAAAATAAAAAGTAAAATTTTATTTCATTTGGAAAAATAAAATTCTTTGTCCCATCAGTTACTGGAGGTCATGTTTGAGTCATTAGTATGTGGACATAGACAGAAAAAACAAGGGGCTGGCAAGGTGACTCAGTGTGTAAAGGTGCTTGCCACCAAGCCTGACAGCCTGAGCTCAGTCTCTGGAACCACATGGTGGAAGGAGAGAACTGGATTCCTGCAAGCTGTCCTCTGATCTCCACACACTGTACACATACCCGGTGGCCCTGCACACACTGGTGAGCACACATGCTCCCCCCAATAAATGTTTTTAAAAAGTTTAATTATAGGAGGAGATTTGGGGGTGTATGTTAGTTGATAGAACTCCTGTGTAGTTTGCACAAGGCCCTAAGTTAGATCCCCAGTACCAGAAATCAAAACGAAACTCCTCCACAGGACCAGGAAAAAGAGGTATGTGGGCCTCAAGATGATTAGCCAGTGTTTCACCAACTTGCGATTTCTGTTTCAGTCAAGATCTACCTGTCTGAAGCCCTAGCTTTTCCATCCCATGACCTAAGCCTTTTTCTCCCGTATCTATAAAAGTCACCACTTTGGCCTAAGTACAGAGGAAATCCAGGATCTCAGTCAAAAGTTCGCACTTCATCATCTAATAGCAAGAGTGTGAGGCATAATAAAGTGTGCACTCCTGTGCCCATTCTTAATGCTTGAGTGTGCTGTGGTTAGAAAATCCAAGATTTTGGTGTGAGTGTGGCTAAGGGGGAACCTCCAATGAACTCTCCTATCACTAGAGTCAGCCTGTGTGTTGTCAGAATTCAGCTTTTGGAAGACTTTGTCGAATGTTCCTCTATGCATTATTCACAGTCTTTTCTTTCAATGCAGATTTCCTTGAGCTACTGTACAGTGTACCACAGACTAGGTGTCTTAGAGTGACAGAAATGTGTTCTCTCCATGGAGGACAGAAGGCTATATGGCTCCCTCTCCTGACTCCAGATTGAGGTTTGGTGGGCTGGTCCAGACTTTGGTGGCTTCTGGTAGCACTGGCCAACAGGCCTGTCACCAGTCTCTGCCTCTGGTAGTCACTGTCTGCTCTGTGTCCTTCTCTTCCTGTCTCACATACCCACATACTTGTTGTTGAAGCTGGAGCCCATTGGATAACCCGGGTGATTGCTCCTCTCAAAATCAGTGTGTCCAGATGAAGCCGTATTTCCCGGCTCCAGGAGTTAGGACATAGATGTGTGTTTCAGCGCACAGCACCGCCTCTCTCCCATCCTTTTTCACTGTGATTTGACAATCTGAGTCCCTGTGGACAAGGCCAGGGTAGATTCAGAAGGTGGCATTGCATTTATAGAAGTCCATCAAGAAGCAGCTCACCCTGAACTGACAACTAGAAAATGCTGCCAACGGGAGCATGAACAGTTACCTCATCACAGAAACACAAAATTGTAAAGAAAATGAGTTGAAGTATAAGGGGAGTATACATAGAAATAAATAATGTACATGCACATATATGTCTTTAAAGTTTGTCCTGTATAGCTTCAGTTCTTAATACAGTTCCGAAAAGAAGACAGTAAAATGAGATTTCAGGTTATTACAAAGCAGATGTACTTAAATCATTAAATTTTATATTTTGATTTTGTTCACCTTGAAGGCTTTAACCAAGTTCTAATGCTTATTTTAAAGTTGGACATTAAAGAAGAAATTGAAGACGAGGAGAAGACAATTGAAGATTATATTGATACGAAGATGGGTGATGCCGACTCTCCTTCGGTTGGAACCATGTACTCGGCTGCTAGTCAATGTCTGCATGAAAAGAAAAACAAGAGGCCAGACATTAAGAAGGTGGTAATTTTTTTTTTTTTTTGTCTTTTTGAGACAGAGTCTCCCTGTAGCCCCAGCTGTCCTGGAACTCACAGTGCTGGGGTCAAAGGCGTGCACCACCATGCCCGGCCTATACTCATTTACAAAATGAGGGAGATGGGTCCTGTTGTCTTTTTCTAAGTGTATATTTCAAAGCAACTGTGTAATATGATTCCTTGTTCTGTTTTTTTTGAAGGTTCAACAGCTGCTGCAAGAGATGACTGCTTAAAACTGATGAAATAGACTCTTGAGATATATATAATTTTTAAAACTGTGGTGCTGGGCACTGAACCCAGGGCCTTGTGCATGCTAGAAAAGCACTTTAGCACTGAGCTACATCCCAGCCTACACTGGTTTTTTTCCTAAATGTTCTTTATTTTTAATAAAACAGCAAGATGCAATACAGTGGTCAGTTACTCCATGTGTTGGACCTCCAACATCCAGAATAAGTAAAAATAGAGCCAGCGCAGCTGTACTTAGCCCTACCCTCTTAGTATCCACCTCCGTTTTCATAGCAGTCTCTGTGAACATCACCCAACAGAAAACACCACAATGCAGGGAAACAGCCCTGGGCTGTAAATAACCTCTCACTCATGTGCCTATAACCCTGATTGAACTCAGTGACTCACCAAGCTGGACTTGGGTGGAAGAGTTTGTCTGGTCTGTTGTTGGCGTCCCATCTTGGGTGAACAGATGTTCACTTGCCTCTCCAGGAAAAATTCCCACACTTAGTACTCTAGGTGGGGCAGAACAGAGCCAGTACTGACATTAGTCGTGTACACATCATCTTTGCTGTGGGCAGTGAGGTGTGCAGCCAAGGCTAAGCTGAGGATGGGGTACCTGTGGGCCCATTCTGACGCCACCCTTCCCCATGTGGTGTAGAGTAACACCCTTACTGCAGTAGCCGTTGCACTGTCCCTTGTATGGGTGAAAAGGCGTGCAGCTGAGGCTCCTCCCTTTAAATGTGGGATGTCTGTGGGTGAGCGTCCAGAGCGGCCATCTTGCTCTGTTGGTATGGAATGGCATGCTTCCTTGATGCTTGGGATCAGCCATGTGATAGTATAATCCCTGAGATAGAATGAGGTAGTAAGCGGGCTGTGCATTCAGTTGTGTGGCCCTTATGCTGGACATTAAGACCTGGGCCTGCAGCCAAGCTATCTGTCCAGAAAGAACTAATTACTATAAGGACAAGACATGCAGACCCTCCCCGCGTTCGCCTCTGAAATAGCAGGAAACGCGAAGAGATGGAGGTGGAGGAACTGGCTGGCCATTTCGTATGTCTGGGGTGAGGAGACAAAGTACAGGTTAGATCTATGCTAAATAGGCCCTCTGGGGACCCCAAACTTGGAATCCACAGTCAGAGTCAGACAACAAGGAGGAAGAGAGTGACAGAAGATAACCCCAGGCCCAGTCTTCAGTATAGAGGAAGGGGAAGTCCACAGTAATCATGCATGCAGGGCTTTCATGATGGCCTGGTACAGGAAACTGATGATCATGGAATATGATGCCTTCGAACTGTTCCAAGTGGGAGAAACTTTTAAATGAAAAATGAGCCATGGCCTTGCTCATAAGGCATAGGACACAGGGTAAATGAGTTCAGCGTAAGTGCTGTGGAAGCAGAGACACCAATATAACTACTGAGGCATGATGAGGGACATCAGTTCCCGATGGACTGGCTCATCTGAACCATTATGGACGCTTAATTGTCTCCAACTGAGGATCGTTACTGAGTAAATGGGGCGTGAGAGAGGTGGTGTTTGGTGCCTAGTTCATTGTGCCAGATAGAACCAGAAGTCAAGAAAGAGGTTGGTTCAGCAGGGACCTGGGGACTGGTATGGGCTCTGATGGCTCTGTTGAACCCATTGCAGAACATGGCCTTTATGAGGCAGGAGAGGCTCTGACAGATCTGAATGATGCAGACTGGCAGGTGAACATGTTCATAAAGTCCTAAAGTGATCAAGAGCGGATGAAAAAAACAAAAAGTGGACAAAGGGACCTGTGTGGGTCACTCCGAAGTAAATGAGGCAAGATTTGTGTCAAGGCAGAGTTCCTAAAGAAAAACAGCAAAATTCAGAGCTCATAAGCCTTTGGAAGGCTTTAAAGCCTGAAGCAAAAGCTGAATGACTGTAAATGATAGAGCAGTACAGGTGAAAAGGACCAAGTTCGCACTTACCCACTACAGTAAGCTGTGTGCGTTTCTTTCCTGAAAGCATGCTGGAAGTGGATACCGCTCACCAGCCCGGGACCCTCTCCGTAGCTGCATGTAGCCAACAGAGGGGCTGCAGCAGAGCACAGTGGGGCCCAGGGACTATCAGACCTGTGTAGACTGTCGGGCATAACAGGTGGGACATGGCTGTGCTCCCCTTTGGCCCTGGGTCAGTCTGAGCATCGAGAGCCAGCCCCACTGAACCTGCTGGAGGTGGGACTATGTGTGGCAGCACCCCAGCCTGAGGAGATGGAAAAACTCAGGGTGAATACTGAGGATAGTGGAGGGCTAACTAAGGTAGTGAGTCCTATTCACACCATCACACTCAACATTCGTCTTTTTTTAATAGTTTACTTTTCATTTGATGTGTATAAGTGTATTGCCTGCAAGTATGCAAGTGCATTTGTGTTGTGTAATGCCCAACAAGGTCAGAAGAGGGTGTCAGATTCCCCTGGAACTGGAGCTACCGATGGTTGTTAGCCACCATGTGGGTGCTGGGGATTGAATCCAGGTCCTCTGCAAGAGCAGCCAGTGCTCTTAACCACTGAGCCATCTCTCCAGCCCTCAACATTGGTCTTTTGAAGTAACAACTGATAGAAGCAATGGAATCTTGCTTTGCACTTTTCTTCATATCCCCTTAGCTGCTGACCTCTGAAATCAACTGGCATTTATGGGAATGGTGAGTGGTGAGCCTTAAGAGATCCTGTCTACCCTTTGCCAAAAGGCTCTATTTCACAGATGTATAATGCTAACTTCTGAGTGTTGCAGAAATTTGGAAAAGCTTCTTGAGGAAGCTGGAGAGATGACTCAGCAGTTAAGAGCATGTCCTGTTACAGAGGACAGAGTTCAGTTCCCAGCACCTACATCAGGCAGCTCACAACTGCCTGTAACTCCAGCTCCAGCAGGGTGTGACACCTTTCACCTCCAAGAGCACCTGCACTCATGTACACAATACGTTTACACACACACATACACACACACACACACACACAAATCTTAAAAGCATCTGAAAGTCATAGAAGTACCCTTAAAGGTGTAAAGATGGGAAATTGGTTCCCACAAAGTGCAAGGGCCAAGCACAACTGTGAAGTTCTTTGGAACTTTATGGTTGAGTAAGGCACAGGTAGGTATCACACAACAAGGTAAGTAAGAAAAATCCTCCAACAGTCTGTACCAGTAATGTTGAAACAAGGGTAAAGAATTTGAGTACAGGTACCTTGTGTGAGTCAAAATAGACATTCCCAGAAAGTTAATGAAAATCCCAGTGCCGAGGATGGGCTGTCGCCTATGAGCTGTTGACCAGGAAGTCTCCCAAAACAATATAGACTATTGCTTTTGCTGTTTGGTTGCCATCCAAAACTAAGACACTTGTTTAAGATACCACACACTTGGTTGTAGGACACAGAGAAAGCTGAGACTGAAAGAAGATTCCTTCTAGCTAGCTTTTATAGTGCTGGAAGGTGCTGTGCAGGCTGCTGCCGGGGGAGGACTGTCATCAATAGCTGTGCTCCCTGTGTGTTACAATATAGACTTGCCACGGAAGATGTGCCCACTGGTGCAATAGTGACACAGTTGTTACGGGTACTAACAACTACTTGATGGTTGGATTTAAGGAGGGAATTCACATCTGGTACTGTAATCTCAGTAAAAATCCCATGGCTCGTGACATCATAGACCCCGGAGAGGAAGCTGCTGGTGTTGCTTGGCTAAATACCTGTCAGATCTCCCTCTAAGCATTAATGTTTATGCTGTCAGCCTTGGTCAGGGAAATTGCTTTTTGCAGTTGGAAAATTCATTACTGCGGAGACTCAGAATTGGTCAAAGTGCTAAGAATATATGACTGTTGAATGCTTAGCTCCAAATAGGACACATTTAGTACTGCCCTCCAAGTCTCAGGAGAGGTGTAAAGATTATAAGAGCCAAAGGTAAGGATACTAGTTTGTGGAACATCCTCTGGGCATGATGTTGCCATTGCCTTCCTAAACCCTCAGCAGCCGTAATCACCTGCACAAGATTGGGCCCATTTGTGGAGGGATAAGAACTCTCACGATCCTTCCCATCGCCAAGGATATATGGACAGTTAATAGTTGCTGGGAGAGACATTTTCCTTTTTTTATTTTCTAAACATTTAAAAAAATATTTTTATTTTCGTGTATGAGTGTATTGCCTGCATGTATGTAAGTGCCCCCTTGTCATGCAGTGCCCGTGGAGGTCAGAAGAGGGTTTCAGATCCCCTGGAACTGGAGTTACAGATGGTTGTAAGCCACCATGTGGGTGCTGGGAATCGAACCCAGGTCCTCTGCAAGAGCAACCGATGCTCTTAACTGCTGAGTCATCTCTCCAGTCCTGAGAGACATTTTCCTTAGTGGTATAGCACCTGTGTTCCTGTAAATGACTCCACTCATGGTCCTATAAATAACCCTAATTAAACTCTGGTTCACTAAATTTGACTGGGATTAGATTGTTTTTTCGGTCTGTCACTTGTGCTCCATCTGGGGTGAATGAAGGAAATTGGCACAACATAGGACACTTGATCATGGGCCATCTGGTCCCGTGACCATCCAGTTCTATATTGGGGACCTCTTCTTTCCCCCACCTGCGTGCCCAGAGAGGGCATGTGAATGAGTCCCAAGAGAAACCACAAAAATGGCTGAAAATAAATCTCCCCTGCAGCCCCTGTCTCCTCTTCAGTAGTTGTCCCCCCAAAATCCCCTTGTAGCTGCTGCCCCTACATAAGACTGCCCGGCCCCTATGCCCCTTGCAGTAGTAGCCTCCATCCCGCAGGAAGGTGCTGGCCCTCGCTGTGCTGATAAATGGCCTAGTCTGTTGAGGTGAGACGTGGTCACTTTCTCTTCTATTGTTCCTGTATTCTGGGCTCCAAAACCTAATGCTGAATAAATATCTGTTCATCTCCCCAAGAAAAGGGTACACATTTTGTTTTCCCCTCTAATGTTGGACTAATATCTGCTGCGCCTCCTTGACAGGGGTCGTGAGAAGCAAATGAAGAATATATGTGAGACCTTTGTAATGGTAAAGTGATGCATTGCTTAAAGCTAAGGATGCAGCAATAAAGTCCTGTTTATAGCCAAAAGCTATAGGTCGGTTCACAGTATGTGAACTTCAGCATTCATTCACCACAAGCAAATGCCCTTTGATGAAGCTCCCAC